ATATAATATAGATATATTATATAATATGAGATATATAATATATAATATATATATATATATATATAGATATATATATAATATATATATCTATATAGGGGTTGCTAACGCGCGTAACGCCTGTTTTTTCAGTTGGTACAATTTTAGCAATGTGTACCGGATTTAGTAGACAAAAAATACCCTTATATATAATGGATTCTAAGTTTTAAGGTTAAGGGTATTTTAATAATTTTCATTCTCAAAACTTAAAAAAAAAAAAGAAACCCCCCAAACCCTTACTCACCTGTCTCATTCCTCTCAATCCTTTCTCTTTCATTTCTCTCACTCCAACCTTTTCCTCTGTCATCCTAGTAGCCCCAATTGAAAAAATCAGAAACACTTGCCTTAAACAATTTGTCTTTCTAAAGAATTGAGTCTTGGACATATTCACTTGAGGCAAGGTTCATTCAAGATCTCTCAATTTCACCATCTTCACTAATTTCTCAATTTCATCATCTGCATATGTTGATCATATCTCAAAAAAAACCCTTCAGCCACTTACCAATTCTTGCGGCGGCCATTACCCCCAATTCTTCGGATTCATTATGCTGTGAAAATTAGATTAAAATTAGATTATAAGACAAAAGTTATAAATAAAAACCTCATTATAAAGTCCATTTTTTGTAAAGAAATTGTTTAACACAATATTTCTGATTTTGTGCCAGGCAATACCAATCCTTTATGCTTGGATGTGAAAATTGGATAATAAAATAGATTAAGACAAAAATTTAAGATCAAAAACTCATTATAAAATCATTTTTTTTGTAAGTGTTTAACTTTCAATGGGGCTACTGTTTCGGATTTTTTTCATTGGGGTTAGCTTACAGTAGAGATTGACAGAGGAAGAAAGCAAAGTTGAGTGCGAAAAGTTGATTGAAAGGAAAGGGTTTACAGGAATTTGAGAAAGGTGAGTAGGGTTGGGGGTTTTCTTTTTTGTTTTTTGTTAGTTTTTTTTTTTGAGAATGAAAATTATTAAAATACCCTTAACCTTAGACTAAAATCCATGGGATATAAGATATTGTTGTCTACTAAAACCGGTACACATTGCTAAATGTACCAACTGAAAAACAGGCGACGCCGTTAGCAAAAACACCAATATATAATATAAGTATTACGTATATATATATATATATATATATATATATATATATATATATATATATAATTAATAAGCATTGCAACTTTACAGTTTTAAGTAAAACATGAAAAGTAGATATTTGCATTTAAACAGTCACGCACAACATCAAAAACGGCTATTGAACAGAGATAAACTCCTGTTCTTTCTAAAACCACCAAAACATTGAAAAACTTAGATTGCATTCACTGTACAAAAACTTATAATTTCTCAATCATACAACAATCAACGATAACAATGATATATGACAATTGTAAATAAATTCAATGGTTAGACGTGTTACACATACAATTCGACATCTAAAATCAAATGACGTTCAACTATCAACAATGTTAAATAATGACTTGAGTAAACATACAACATTTGCTTAGATTATTGGATAAATTCCAAAACATAAATTATTATTATGGTTTTATCTCGACATCAACCCCTTGTTTTAGATTTCTTTTAATGTAATTTCAACATCTCAATACTTTTGAATGTATTATTTAATTACTTTGATTCTAAAAATCAAGATAAAATATTATATGTACAAAGTCTCTTTCAATGCTTATTACAAAGTTATGCCAATTATTGAGCCCTGCGCCTTACCATCATTGGTATTTTATTGGAGCATATCACCAATTTATACATTTATATTGAATTTTATATTTTGACTTAAAATTAATATTAAGAGTAAAATACAACAATTTATATTTACTAATACTATAAACTCCTTATATGTTATTATAAATAAAAACTGATCATATAAAGAAAAAAGTATGATAAAATATAGATAAATAATTACAAAAATGATTTACTTTTTTTATTAATTATTATAAACGAAAGCTACTTATTTCATTATTATGTTAGTTAAGAAATACAAGACTTCAACCAATAAAAAAATAATATAACACACACACACACACACACAATATATATATATATATATATAACAATTATTGTTATAATTACAACAATCAGTTTAAAAATATGTGGGCTCGACAACTATTGTCATAATTATAATAATCAGATTTTAAAAGTGTGTGGAGATTGAGTCATCGAGTGAAAGAGAAGAACATTGATTCCTCTGTGCCAGAAACAGAGACAAAGAAATGGTTCCTTGGAACTCATTTCCATTAGAAGTGACTTACCAAGTATTTGGTTGGTTAGCTTTTCTTTCATGGGCAGTTGCTGGCTACCCACAACTCATCTTGAATTTTCGTAGGAAAAGGTTGTTTCTTTCATGTTCTAATCTCATTTTTTGTTGCTGTTTTTCCTTTGGGGTGGATTCTCAAGTGCTTTTGGTTGGTTTTGGTGATCAAACTCAGTGTGGTGGGATTAAGTTTGGATTTTCAGATTCTGAGCTTAACCAAGCACTGTACATATCTCATATACAATGCTTCCCTCTTCTTTAGCCCTGTTGTTCAGAAACAGTATTTTGAGAAGTATGGTTATGAACAGGTATGTTCTTTTTAACCAAGAGTTTAACTTTGATGCCATCATACATAAGTTTATGTTAATATTTAATGATGTAAATAACTTGATTCTGCAATTTTGGTTTATAATCTCTTGTTACTGCAGATGATTCCTGTTGCAGCTAACGATGTTGCTTTCTCTAGTCATGCAGTCATATTACATCTAATTATAATTTGCCAATTTGCTATGTTTGAAGTAAGTATTATCACAAGTTCTTAGAAAGAGATTATATTTTCTTCTCATCACTATACTTTTAGCTCCTGCTCTTCTAAATTCAGAGATATTGAATGTTTATTTGCAGCGTGGAAATCAGAAATTCTCCATCTATACCATTGCAGTAGCTGTTGCAGTGTGGTTTAGTGCTGCTGTTTGCTTTTTCATTGCATTGCCGAGCCAATCTTGGCTTTGGCTAGTTTCCATCTTCAAGTAAGTTTCATTTACTCTTTCCATGAAAAATTTCTTTGACCCTATTCACAAGGATTTGCAGTTCTAATGATACAGATAAATATAAAGGCATATATCTTGTTTTTTTAAAACCTGTATTCCTCAAGGTCAAAAAAAGGGCTTCAATATATTATTCTCAACTCAAGCACGTTATTATGTTTTCAATATTTGATTATTGCACTTTTTCACTTTCACTATTTCACTCTTGCACTTTCTAAGATTCCCATTATGTGTTGGGGTAAGAAAAGATGCAACTGAACATAGAAAATTTAAGTAATGGTCAAGCTCAAACTTGGCTTAAACAAATTTAGCAGAACTATGACATAGAGGCTATGATTGAATAGTATGCAGTCTTTTCACATATTTATGACTACTGATATAAAAGAGTTATAGGAAGTATACATTTGAAGTGTGATTATTTCTCATATCTACGAATCAACTATACCTTTCAGTGTTGATATTCTTCTTTCTCTTCATATTTCTTTATTTTAATATAATTGTTAACATTATAGAGTTCTTTCTCTATGCTATAATTCAGTTTCCCTCTAATTATTTGTGGAAATCATGCTGCAGCATAATTCAAGCAATTATGACCCTCATCAAATACTTTCCCCAGGTCAGAAGGCCTTAACCTCTTATATCATGTTCTATGTATAGCATGTGCAGAAAATTGGTACTCAAGCAAATAGCTTCCTACATTTTGTAGCTTAATTGACCTCATTTGAGGCTTTTTTGTAATGAGTTTTCAAACCTGCATATGAACTTATAATTTGGCTGTTTTTGCATACTTCAGATTTTCATACTTATGCTTCAGTCATTGGTGATATTCTGACAAAGATTTAGTGTGTTTTCCATATATACTATTCTTATTAATTTCTTACAACATTTGGAGTTTGACAGAATAACACTGATAAACAAAAATAGTAAGGAAAGGATACTTATTTGGTATAGTTACTGAGTAATGGCTACTTGCTTATGAAATCTAGACACTCCTGAACTTTTTGAGGAAAAGCACAGATGGATTTAGCATTGGAACTGTTCTACTTGATTTTTCTGGAGGTGTATTTAATTATTCACAAATGGCTGTGCAGTCCATAGACCAAGGTTTCTGAAGTAATTATGAATTTGACCCTGCCATCAGATTTTATCTTTGAATATGTAAAATGAATTTCAATTTTATCTGAATGTAGGTTCCTGGGTGAACTTCTATGGAAACATTGGGAAAGTACTTATATCCTTGGTATGAACTCCTATCCTACTCCATTTCCTTCTTCTAAATCATTGAATATCTTTCTTCAAACTTGTTCAACATATTATTGCATCTTAGACCTTGAGATTGTTGGAAGTTTTGTCTCGACTAAAGATAAAAACAATTTTTAATATATAAGTAGACGTAAACCTCATTTCATACACTAGTTGTGTAAGTTGAGTTAAGTTTAAAATCGTACCATAAAACCAGTCATGTGCTAAAATCTATATTTGGGTCTATTGTTTTACTTGTTATCAAATATTATCATATATGCCTATCAATTTTAAGTTTAAGGATGAGTTAGGTTTAAAAGTTCAGTTATCAAGGAGCTTCTATTAATTGATTATGGAGGAGTTCACTTCATTTTTCTTTTCTTTTTCATTACTAAAACTGTTTGCCAAAAAACTTATCCAGATCACCTAAAATACTTAACATTTGTGAAAAATGATGCTAAGCTTATTAATCTTGACCGATGAATTTTGATTTGTTTCTTTTTCTGTTACCATTGCAGGTAACAATATCCTATGATTCTATCTTAATGTGTCAGCATTATGTAGTGTACCCTGATAACAAGAAAGGGCTTCCTTCTAAAAATTCTGAAGAAATCAAACAACCACTGATCTGGGAAAGTCCAAAAAGTCAAAGAGAGAAATAACAAAGAAAAGGTGAGCGGTAAAAGTAAAATAAGTATAAAAAAGAAGTGTGATGTGAAAGGTTTAATTGCTTCCTTTGTCCCCAGTTTGGTTGAATTGTGTCAAATTCATCCTCATTTTTAAAAAAGTTTCATTGTCGTCCTCACGTGGTATAAAAGTGTCAATTGAATCCAAACATAGAAAAAATTTGTGTCAAAGTAGTCATTTTTCCTATATCTCTGTGTCTTCCTTTCATATGTCACTTCTCTAGAGCTATGAAAAGCCTTAAATTGGATAAGGTAAAATGAATATCTGTACTTGATTGTATGAAAGGAAGACACAGATATATAGGAAAAATGACTACTTTGACACAAATTTTTTCTATGTTTGGATTCAATTGACACTTTTACACCACGTGAGGACGACAATGAAACTTTTACACCACGTGAGGATGACAATGAAACTTTTTTAAAAATGAGGATGAATTTGACACAATTCAACCAAACTAGGGACAAAGGAAGCAATTAAACCTTTGAAAAATTATATAGACTTGTTGAGTGAGGAACTGTGTCGTTGGGCGAGACCAAGGCCAAAGAGTCATTGACTTGGTAGTTGTTGGGTGAGAATATTCTTGCTGAGTGACTTCAAAGTGAGAGAGTTCACTAACTTGGTTGTCATTATGCATGACAATTCTTTGTTGGGCGAATTATGAGTGATTTAATCTTTGTGAGTTCTACTGCTTGTGTCATTAGGCGATACATCTAGTTGTTGGGTGAGTGGGCCTTCAAGCACTACTCGCTAAGCGAGTTGATGATCTCGCTGATAGAAATTAGCAGGATTATTTAGTCTTCCATATTCACTATTTTGTATGTTTAAAGTAATCTTATAAGTTGTTAAGGACATTATGAAACTATATGTATAAGTGATTTGTACACGGATGGTTGGTACTAATTCAAGGATGATTAGGAATGAGTTTATTAATGTATGTATTAATATAAGAATCCAAACTTTTTTTAGCATTATAATAATAATCAGTCTCATGTAGAGAAGGATGATGTATGCGATGAGAGGAGCAATAGATCATAGTCTAGAAACTTTAGCTTGACGAAAAATATTAACGGATTAACATTGTATTAGATAAGGTAAAATTCATTAACAACGACTTTACAAATAAATAGAAGTCACCACAAATATATAATTTGTCAAAGTCTTATATCAATGCATATATCCAGATAATTAAATCTTGTTTAAATTTTTACTTGTGATATGTTTGTTTTTATGAATAAATTGTATGTAAGGTTAATTTCATTTCTGATATATGAAAAAGTGGATATGCCTAAAGAAAGTAATGATGGAATCCCTAATTCAATTAGTTAATTCTTTTTAATATTTTTAATAAATATTTTAGTTCAAGTTATACATCGAGTCATAGAGCTTTATATTTTGACCTCATATTGTTATAATTATTTTTGGGATGATGATAATAATTCATTCCAGTTTAAATTATTTGTTCTTAAATATTGATTGTGATATTTATTTTAATAATAATATTCTATTAAAATAAGATGTTATATATATATATATATATATATATATATATATAATTAATAAGCATTGCAACTTTACAGTTTTAAGTAAAACATGAAAAGTAGATATTTGCATTTAAACAGTCACGCACAACATCAAAAACGGCTATTGAACAGAGACTAAACTCCTGTTTCTTTCTAACCACCAAAACATGAAAAACTTAGATTGCATTCACTGTTACAAAAATAACTTATAATTTCTCAATCATACAACAATCAACGATAACAATGATATATGACAATTGTAAATAAATTCAATGGTTAGACGTGTTACACATACAATTCGACATCTAAAATCAAATGACGTTCAACTATCAACAATGTTAAATAATGACTTGAGTAAACATACAACATTTGCTTAGATTATTGGATAAATTCCAAAACATAAATTATTATTATGGTTTTATCTCGACATCAACCCCTTGTTTTAGATTTCTTTTAATGTAATTTCAACATCTCAATACTTTTGAATGTATTATTTAATTACTTTGATTCTAAAAATCAAGATAAAATATTATATGTACAAAGTCTCTTTCAATGCTTATTACAAAGTTATGCCAATTATTGAGCCCTGCGCCTTACCATCATTGGTATTTTATTGGAGCATATCACCAATTTATACATTTATATTGAATTTTATATTTTGACTTAAAATTAATATTAAGAGTAAAATACAACAATTTATATTTACTAATACTATAAACTCCTTATATGTTATTATAAATAAAAACTGATCATATAAAGAAAAAAGTATGATAAAATATAGATAAATAATTACAAAAATGATTTACTTTTTTTATTAATTATTATAAACGAAAGCTACTTATTTCATTATTATGTTAGTTAAGAAATACAAGACTTCAACCAATAAAAAAATAATATAACACACACACACACACACACATATATATATATATATATATATATATATATAACAATTATTGTTATAATTACAACAATCAGTTTAAAAATATGTGGGCTCGACAACTATTGTCATAATTATAATAATCAGATTTTAAAAGTGTGTGGAGATTGAGTCATCGAGTGAAAGAGAAGAACATTGATTCCTCTGTGCCAGAAACAGAGACAAAGAAATGGTTCCTTGGAACTCATTTCCATTAGAAGTGACTTACCAAGTATTTGGTTGGTTAGCTTTTCTTTCATGGGCAGTTGCTGGCTACCCACAACTCATCTTGAATTTTCGTAGGAAAAGGTTGTTTCTTTCATGTTCTAATCTCATTTTTTGTTGCTGTTTTTCCTTTGGGGTGGATTCTCAAGTGCTTTTGGTTGGTTTTGGTGATCAAACTCAGTGTGGTGGGATTAAGTTTGGATTTTCAGATTCTGAGCTTAACCAAGCACTGTACATATCTCATATACAATGCTTCCCTCTTCTTTAGCCCTGTTGTTCAGAAACAGTATTTTGAGAAGTATGGTTATGAACAGGTATGTTCTTTTTAACCAAGAGTTTAACTTTGATGCCATCATACATAAGTTTATGTTAATATTTAATGATGTAAATAACTTGATTCTGCAATTTTGGTTTATAATCTCTTGTTACTGCAGATGATTCCTGTTGCAGCTAACGATGTTGCTTTCTCTAGTCATGCAGTCATATTACATCTAATTATAATTTGCCAATTTGCTATGTTTGAAGTAAGTATTATCACAAGTTCTTAGAAAGAGATTATATTTTCTTCTCATCACTATACTTTTAGCTCCTGCTCTTCTAAATTCAGAGATATTGAATGTTTATTTGCAGCGTGGAAATCAGAAATTCTCCATCTATACCATTGCAGTAGCTGTTGCAGTGTGGTTTAGTGCTGCTGTTTGCTTTTTCATTGCATTGCCGAGCCAATCTTGGCTTTGGCTAGTTTCCATCTTCAAGTAAGTTTCATTTACTCTTTCCATGAAAAATTTCTTTGACCCTATTCACAAGGATTTGCAGTTCTAATGATACAGATAAATATAAAGGCATATATCTTGTTTTTTTAAAACCTGTATTCCTCAAGGTCAAAAAAAGGGCTTCAATATATTATTCTCAACTCAAGCACGTTATTATGTTTTCAATATTTGATTATTGCACTTTTTCACTTTCACTATTTCACTCTTGCACTTTCTAAGATTCCCATTATGTGTTGGGGTAAGAAAAGATGCAACTGAACATAGAAAATTTAAGTAATGGTCAAGCTCAAACTTGGCTTAAACAAATTTAGCAGAACTATGACATAGAGGCTATGATTGAATAGTATGCAGTCTTTTCACATATTTATGACTACTGATATAAAAGAGTTATAGGAAGTATACATTTGAAGTGTGATTATTTCTCATATCTACGAATCAACTATACCTTTCAGTGTTGATATTCTTCTTTCTCTTCATATTTCTTTATTTTAATATAATTGTTAACATTATAGAGTTCTTTCTCTATGCTATAATTCAGTTTCCCTCTAATTATTTGTGGAAATCATGCTGCAGCATAATTCAAGCAATTATGACCCTCATCAAATACTTTCCCCAGGTCAGAAGGCCTTAACCTCTTATATCATGTTCTATGTATAGCATGTGCAGAAAATTGGTACTCAAGCAAATAGCTTCCTACATTTTGTAGCTTAATTGACCTCATTTGAGGCTTTTTTGTAATGAGTTTTCAAACCTGCATATGAACTTATAATTTGGCTGTTTTTGCATACTTCAGATTTTCATACTTATGCTTCAGTCATTGGTGATATTCTGACAAAGATTTAGTGTGTTTTCCATATATACTATTCTTATTAATTTCTTACAACATTTGGAGTTTGACAGAATAACACTGATAAACAAAAATAGTAAGGAAAGGATACTTATTTGGTATAGTTACTGAGTAATGGCTACTTGCTTATGAAATCTAGACACTCCTGAACTTTTTGAGGAAAAGCACAGATGGATTTAGCATTGGAACTGTTCTACTTGATTTTTCTGGAGGTGTATTTAATTATTCACAAATGGCTGTGCAGTCCATAGACCAAGGTTTCTGAAGTAATTATGAATTTGACCCTGCCATCAGATTTTATCTTTGAATATGTAAAATGAATTTCAATTTTATCTGAATGTAGGTTCCTGGGTGAACTTCTATGGAAACATTGGGAAAGTACTTATATCCTTGGTATGAACTCCTATCCTACTCCATTTCCTTCTTCTAAATCATTGAATATCTTTCTTCAAACTTGTTCAACATATTATTGCATCTTAGACCTTGAGATTGTTGGAAGTTTTGTCTCGACTAAAGATAAAAACAATTTTTAATATATAAGTAGACGTAAACCTCATTTCATACACTAGTTGTGTAAGTTGAGTTAAGTTTAAAATCGTACCATAAAACCAGTCATGTGCTAAAATCTATATTTGGGTCTATTGTTTTACTTGTTATCAAATATTATCATATATGCCTATCAATTTTAAGTTTAAGGATGAGTTAGGTTTAAAAGTTCAGTTATCAAGGAGCTTCTATTAATTGATTATGGAGGAGTTCACTTCATTTTTCTTTTCTTTTTCATTACTAAAACTGTTTGCCAAAAAACTTATCCAGATCACCTAAAATACTTAACATTTGTGAAAAATGATGCTAAGCTTATTAATCTTGACCGATGAATTTTGATTTGTTTCTTTTTCTGTTACCATTGCAGGTAACAATATCCTATGATTCTATCTTAATGTGTCAGCATTATGTAGTGTACCCTGATAACAAGAAAGGGCTTCCTTCTAAAAATTCTGAAGAAATCAAACAACCACTGATCTGGGAAAGTCCAAGTCCAATAGATCATCAACAAATCAAAGGTTCTGTTACATATTCACATCAGTCTCCACCAGAAGTTTGAGGTATACCTAAGTTGGATCGTGCAGTATACAAATTTGTATATATAATAAGAAAACATTTATTGAAAGAAGTGAGGTACTTCAAATCACCCTTTGTATATTCAGGAATTCATTCCTAACTTTCCATTCTGTATTGGAAAAATGTAATATGGTGTCCTCAATTCATACATTAAACCAATATTAATTACCTAAAATGACAGTGATTTGTGTTTCTTAATTAAACTTAGGATTAGAATGCTTCGTATGAAATAAATGTTTAGGCAGTATAATAAGTGCATCAAAGGATGACAGTTCAGCAGCAATGCCAAAACCACAGCCGTATGTATATATATATATATATATATATATATATATGCAGTGCCTTATGGCACAATATATCTACTTTGATATATATAAATGAATATTATATTTTAAAATAAATATAATTGTATAATAATATTTTATAAAATTATTAGAATAACATGTTATTTAGAAAAGTTAAGGCATATAAGTAATTCAAAAGCATAAAGTTTATATATAGTAATATCCATAGTCTATGATGCCATCATATTTAGTAATTGTTTACAAACTAGCATTTCGCATTTGTACCGTGCGACGCACTGGCTTTTCTAAAAAATAAAATATACTATTATATAAATTTTATTTTATAAAAATATAATTAGATTTTAATATAAGTATTTTATTATATAAAATTAAATATCAAATGAATTTTTATCAATGTTTCAATTTAGGTTTTTTAATATATTTTAAGTTTGATTAAATATTTTAAAGTATAATTTGTTTATTATTTACATTTTACCTCGTATAAATAAAATTGATTTTTATTAAAAGTCTAACTGATATAACATAAATTAGCATTTAATATTTGTGTAGAATTATATTAGATGTTGACCATGTGGAATAAAATAAGTGATTCAAAAAATATATTGCATATTATTTATAATAAATAATTAAATATTTTTATGTACTAAATAATTGAACATTTACAAATAAATATATACAAATTATTGAAAAATAATTGGTAAGCACTTATTATTTGATTTACATTTAATGTTGTATAGAAGGGAGTAAGATCAATTGATGATTATGAATAAGTTGTAAACGTTAATAAAGTTCATGAACCGTGTAATAAATATTAAGTTATATTTGAGAAAGATATAATATATATATATATATATATATATATAAATAAATTTATAATACATATAAATACTGTCAATATTTTGGGGAAAGAATATAAATCTGAATATTTTGGGAAAAGAAGTATTTGGTCAACAAAGAAGAAAATAAAGTTCAAATGTTAGAAAAGTACAAACAAATTTTGTTTAGAAAGATTAACTTTAAAGGCCTAGAAGGAAAAACTCGAGCAAAAAGAATACGGAATTAAATATATTGGTAACATTTCATTTTTAACAGTTTACAATATATAAAAATAAGATTGGTAAAATAAAATAGATTATCTCAAAATATATATATATATTATGTTTATAGTTATTTACTTTTAGAGATAACCGACTCTGGAAAATAACGTACAAGTATGCATGGCAATCGGAGAGCGAAACACCTCAGCAACGCAAGTGGCGACCGCAGAGCGAGACACTTCACCAACGGACGCCAGGTGTCACGCTGCATGGAGTCTGGAGTGACGAGCGCAGTGCAGTCCGCGTGTCACTCGGAGAACGTGTCATTTCATTTACGAACGCCAGGTGTCATGCCGAGGGTAGTTGGGAATCGGTAGTTGAAAGCACGTGTCCGCCGAAGAGAGGACGTTCGTTCGTCGCTGGAAGCAAAACTGAAATTTCTCAGAAAAACGCTCCACTCTCTGCACGCAACCCCTTTTTCCGATTTCTGAAGAGAACCTTTCTCTCCTCCTTCTCTCTGCGTTTTCTTAACCTTCCCTCTAAGAAAACACCCGTTTCATCTACTCTGATCACCGTTCAGGCACCGTGGAAGCATTCTCGGCGTCTCAAGCTTCATCTTGAACCGATTGGGTTTCCAGTTTGAGCTGGTAAGTCTTCTCCCCTTAGTCGTTCGTCCTTTTGTTACATGCAAACCACGTTTTGATTTCATACGAGGGTGTAGTCTAAGTTACCTTGGTTTCTTACTGTTTGGTTTAGTTTGGAAGAGTTTGGTTGAGCGTTGAGAGTAGAAGAAATCTTAAGTCCGTGAAGTGATTCTGAAGGACGTACGTTCACACTAGAGGTAAGGGAAGCTTATTTAATTGAATTGACATTTGTATGTTGCCTTACTGTATGAACGTCCGTTGATTGAAGAAATGAATATGATGCATGCTGCTTGATGTATATGATGATGGTTGATATGTATGAATGTGAATATGAGTAATCATTTAAGTATGAATTATAAATGTGGAATTCTATAAAGTTTGTAAATTGATATTTGATATGAAGTTATAAGGTATGAACTGATATGTTGAAAACTTGAGTTGAAAATAGATTAAATTCTGAATATGAAATTCTCATTATGATAATGTACGTTCGTTATCGAACGGTCCTCTACCGTTCGGTTTGTTCTAGTAAACTGTTTAAAATTGGAATTCTTTCATTTGGAGAGAATTCTAGTCAAGAACGAGTGTCCTCATGTGGAAATACTATGTTTGAGCGTTCGGCTCAGCATAGTAGTACCCTGATAGCTGAAATAGAGTAATACCTATATATAAACCCTCTTATTTTAAGATTAGTAGCGCTCGGTTTTACATCTAGCGTTCATAATAAGTAGCGCTCGGTCTTACACCTAGCGTTCGTACTAAGTAGTGCTCGGTTTCATACCTAGCGCTCGTATTGAGTAGTGCGCGGTCTCATACCAAGCGCTCGTACTATTGAATAATCAATCTTGATAAAATAGCGTTCGTCCAACTGTAGTAATACTTTCTTTTACCATGTTCGGTTATTTACTGGCATTGGATTTCCGTATGTGAACTATTCTAAATATGGTCCTTAACCTCTTGAATATTCTTCTTGCATTGGATCCGGCCTAAGGTCCCCATACTTGATTTATTCCTTAAGTATTGGTTTGAACTCAAGAGAGTCAGTTCATTCAACTGACTCACGTGGTAGATACCGTTCGTTACATATTGTACTATTTTACTCGGTTCATTTCGTAAATCCAACAGTAACTCTCTTTGTTTTATTCTTTTCTGAACGGGAGAATCATCGATCTTTTTCTTATCGTTCGTTCTCGTTATGAAGAGGGCTGAACGTTCGTTATTTTATGTCCCTGTAACTGATGATGAAACTGATAATAAAGTGGAAGATTATAAAGGATGAACAGTATATGAGATGAATAAACGATTGTGGTTTTTGAACGAGTGTTCCAGGGAGGAACGACTCATGTATTGAATATTGGAAATTGGTGAAGTATGACTGTGGTTATGCTAATGCTGGCAGTTCATCCTGATGTTCCGTGAGTACTCGTCCTCACGTAGAGGGGGTAGGTCATGTGTGGGAACGGCATGAGTTCCTAATCCTTAGGGGTACTTTGGATAGGGCTAACCTCGGGTGGCAGCTGTTGAGTGTATCCCAGTTACTACATCACCCGGGTGCACGAACGCCTGTAGCTACACAGATTCATATAGTCCGGACGGTCCGTCTAATGATAGTTTTCGTATTGATATATATATATATACATATATATATATATATATATATATATATATATGTTGAACCATTCTTGTGTTGTTGAAATGTTTAATTTATATGTTGATGTGTGAATTAAATTACTTAAGCTTACCCTGTGTTTTCTTGTGTTGTCTCGTCCTTGTACGTCCGTCTTGTCATTGCGATGATCATCCGTGTGGATGTGAGCAGAAGGAGACGCCTTATTGGAAGAAGTGATTGAAGAGGAGAACCTGGTGGACGTTGAAGTTAAGGCCGAGCCTTAGATCGTCCGGTTGATTTTGGATGTTAGTTGTTTTGTTTAGATCGTTCGGTAATAGGTTTTGTAAACCGTTCGATCCTGACTTCCTTTCTTATGTTGTTAAATTGTATTCAACTTTGTACTTAACACCGTTCGGCTGTTGAACGAAAATTTTAGTGTAAGACTGCACTGTTTGATTATGAAATGTAATTAATTCTATTATATGGTGATTACTGGATTTTTGGGATGTTACAACCATACTATATTTAATTATATATATATATATATATAATTTAGAATTTTCGAAAACTTTTATATAGAATAATTACTGCAAATAAAAAACTATTATGTGTCATCGTAGCCTTCCATCAAAGGAGTCTCAACACCTATCTCTTATCTGCTTACACTATAAAGTTAGTATTTTGGTCCAAAACAATTTTCAATATTAAAGCACTTACCAATTGGTTCAAATATTCAAATTATAATTCCTTCAACCAATACAAAATCAACCAAATCACTCAAACATGACAATCACTCAAAACATACAAAATTCATAAATAACAATCAAATTTCATCTCCAATTATATTAGAACAACAACATGTAGACCATCAAATTTATTAAACTCATGCAAACCAAAAACATTTAGCATCTCTCATGACCAACTCCTCACAAGACTCTAACCAACGAAGCTCCTCCTAACTTGTTCGATGTTTTATCTACATAAAAACATCACAAGAATGATCAAGACATACTATTATGATCAGTGATCAATGAAGACTCATATAGATAACTAAAAAAACACATGCAATTGAAAGAAGACTCGTATGCAACAAATAACACAAAAGACCAAGAAAAATGATTGAAACTCAACTTATGTAAACAGAGAAACTACTCAGTCTAAATTGAAGAGATCACTTCAAGGATCGATCTTAGAGTCTCAATTCTTCAATCAAACGAGTAGAGAGAAATAAATCTTAGAGAGAAGTCAAAGAACTCTAGAAAAATAGTTTTTAAAGAGATAGTGTGTTTTAAAATAATGAAACTCATTCATAACCCAAACTATTTATATTAAAACTTTTAATATTAAAATAATCGAGTCTCACTATTTTTAAATCATTATCACTTCTAAAATTCCATTTTTTAGATCTTTACATTCTTCATAATAAGCAAAATTTTCATCTTTGAAAATTCATTCATCAGGTAGAAATAAAGGTACGCTCTCCTCATTTTCTCTTATAACAACTACCTATTCTTGATCGAGTTACCGTCTCTAAAATCTTGACTAACTGAAAACCTTGTCTTTTTTCTAAATGATATAGTGTTCACTAATGTAGTTTGGTTTAGACATTACTCCCCAAATGTAATTCTCAGCCTCAATTCTAAAGCTTGAATGATCATTTACGCCTAACAAACAATTTGTATCTACTATATTGAACTCTTCTTCCATACGCTCTCCAACACCTTTTGTAGGTTTTTACCAAAATTTAAAGATAACCTTGGTCTCATTCTAAAACAATATATATGTTAGTTATCATTTCACACCACCTTATTGCTTCCTTGGAATATTGCTCAACTAACTTGATCACACAGGACTCCTAACATACTAACAAGAGGTGAACACTCTTGGTCACCCTATACACGACCACCCCTATAACATCATGCCTCATTTATTGATTTTGGCTAATGAGTAACAAAGTCAAAAACAATGTTATCCACTTCAAAAACTAGAACTTTCAACTATTGTAATGAAAAACACCTATTTTGGCATTCTAATCTTCATTTTCCAAACCATTAATTTGTACACATCCCAAACATCTTGGTTCAACTTAAAAATCACTAGCGTGATCAATACTTAGCAACTCTAGAGTACTTCACAACCTAGGATTGTCTTATTTACCCTTTCCCAAACATTTTGAAACACTCACTAGCTATAGTCTATTGACTGCTTAAGTGAAGTCTCGCATACAACTTTGTTGCAAGCTTTATTCCTTGAACTTTTCACCAACTCTAACATCTTCATTATTAAACCAACGACTTGAATCCTTCTTTTGTTTAAGCATCTACTATTACTTTCTCACTTCAAGGTTAACCTTAAAGACTTTCTTGTGCCAAAAATGATCAACACCAAAGTGTCAATCAAACTCTTCTTCAACATCCCGAAAAACTCTCTTCACACTACTTCGAGATCTACTAACTTTCCAGTTTACCACGATGACAAAAAGCTACACCATTATTTTTCTAACAACTCTTCCATCTACTTCTACTCCATGCTCTCAAGAACCAACCAATAAGGAATTATTAACACTGGTTCTACTTCAGACATTAATGCAATAATGAACCTCACTGCTCCTAGGCGGTAGTCTTTGATCTACTTTGGAACACATCCAAAAACTCCTCCACAAGTATGATTATTTGTGTTTGTTCTTCACTAGCCCTTGCCAAATAACACTCGCTTATATAACACTCTGCCCATTCCTTTTAGCTTAATTCACATTCACTACAACAACCATTGACTTACCCTTTTTTAAACATGGAACAACACTTCTTTGGTACCACAATTCACCAGAATGAGATCGAAAAACAATTAATTCATCCTCGAGATGATGTCCCAACCTTGCAAAGGAAAATTAATCAAATTAACTTTGAATCTAGATCCTTTGACCACCATAAGGCATGCCACACACCAAAGCAATCTTCCATTGATCGAAGTTGTCACAAAACCACCCTTCCAAACTCCAACTCACTTGCAAACAATCCAACACATTTATTCGTGCATGTAACACAAAAAATTGTGTTGCCCCAACCAAACCAAAATGCTTAACATAACCATCATTTATGTAACATAAATGTTCAATGCAACCATTTGTACTAACAACTTCAACATCAAATATTGAAAACACCTTTCCAACTACTCAAGACCTTTCCCCTCCATTCTTTCTTGACTGTATTATGGATTTACTAGTTGTCCTTCCCTATAAGAACAATCTTAATGATATGCTTCTCCCTATGGCACTTGAAACCCTCCACCTTATGTTTAAGGTCAAACCTTTGTCCCATGTGAACCACTTTACTTAGAAATTCATTATACTCTGACTTTGATTGTTGCTATTGTAAGAAGATCCAACTACCTCCTACTAATATTGATCTGGGTATAAAACTTTTAATATACTTCATTCTCATCAAAAGATTGTTTTCCTCCTTACTTAGAAAATACCACCTTGCCTAACTTTAAATACTAAAATCGCGTCAAGTATGCATGACTTTGATTAGTGCAAATTACAGTTAAAATGACATTAATGACTTTATTATATATAAACAAGTCGTGTATATAAATTCACTTGCATTGGTCTTAAGTTGTCCATAGCGAACATGACTTCTTCATATAATGAAGTCATGTCACCTTGGCACGAATTTGAAGATATATGTTTTCCTGAAATTGTGAGAGAAACTTCGAGTAAACATGGATTACTACATCTTTAAAGCAACCTTCTTTTAAAAATGGTTGAGAGATGAAGTTACAATTGTCAAAAGGGAGATTTCTGTAATACAGCACATGCTCCAACAAAAGAAGTTTTTTTTTTTAATTTATTCTAGATGATATTGACAAAGAGGAACAACTACAGTCACTTGCTGGAAGACCACATTGGTTTGATCTAGGCAGTGGAGTCATCATAACAACTCGAGACAAATAGTTGCTAAAATGTCATGGGATTAAAAGAACATACAAGGTGAAAGAATTCAATGAGGGAAATTATCTTGAATTACTTACTTAGAAAGCTTTCAAGTTTGAACAATTTGATCCAAGTTGTAACACCCCTAATGGGATGCCACGTGTAAGAAAATAATATGCAAATTGTTTAAAATTGTTCTCGTCAATTTTTTTTTCTTAAAGCAACACCACAGAAGCAAAACCATAATTGTATCAAATGTCAATACATCATCACAATTCAAACCTTACATATCCTTTTAAAAGTCAAATATTCAAAAAGTAAAAAAGAATTTTAAAGATAAAACCCTGATAATTATTTAGTTCCCGTCTCTCGTCACTACTCCATTCCAGCCTCATCTACAACATCATATATTCTCGTACAAGTACGATCATTGTAGGTGGAACCACCACCACAACAGGCAAGGGTGACTAACCAAAAAACATATCAAAATCACATACACAAAATATTACCATCACTCGCAAACTAATTTATTAGTTCTGATAGCACTAATTTGATTTTAAATCAAATATGTCCATTCCTATGGTGTGTGAAAGTGCTAGAGATTGCATTATTGAGAAGTTAAACTTTGTAATTAAACAAAGTTTTAAATGATGTTCATATCCTTATGAGTGGTGTATGATTTGCAGCATACACTTAATGAAATCACCTATATGAGTGTCAAGTGGAGCCGCTTGCATAAGATCTTGAAATGATCTCTAGAACATTCATGAATATTGGACACGCGCATGGTCTAGTAAGCGCATCATAACGATAACAACAAAATTGTGGAAGTGTATTGTGATTGATAAACATCAATGACAATGAAACACTTGTTAGAAACTTGGGAGATAATGGATGATTGTACTTGTGCTTTTGATCTGAGGGAGACAAAACTGAAAAATAATTTAGACGAAGAACTTGTGGAAAACGAATGGAACCATGCAGAGGTTACGTGTCGATATGTGAGTTTAGGCCAAACCTTAATAAAACATGGAATCCATGTATTTAAACAGGAAAGTAGCGTGGAAGAGATTCGATTCACTGATCCTTCCAGAAAAAGAAATCTTGATATGATGAACTCAATAGCTCAAGATCACAATACCAACAGTTGCTGAAAAAACAAAGATGAGTGCACAAAGAAGTTGGTGAAATACAGTTTGTGCAGCAGGGAAAACTGTCCAACACCACTGTTTCTCATTTCTTCATGCTTCAGCAATCAATTGGTTACTGTGAATAATTCTACTTAAAACACTGCTTAGGTGAAGCTGTTTTAAGTTTTTCAGTTAAGTGTTGTTTTAGATATTTAATTTTGCTTTGGTTTCAATGAAAATAGATTGCTCCATATTTTGCACTTTTTCCTTTTATACATTCCCCTGAATCAGGTAGTGTTTTAGTTCCAAAATTTTGCGCCATATATAAATGTAAAATTGGTCGATGTTTCGCTTTTGTACATATTGTCTATTTTCAAAATATACTAAAATATTAAATAAAATTTTAATAAAATGAATCAGAACTTCATTTCACTTGGTTTTAATAAAATTTAAAATCATACTTACAACAACATGGATTTATAATTTAAGTTTCATATTGAAAAATTTTAATTTTTATATGTATAAAATTATTAAATAGACTAATATTTATCACAACTTTAAACGTAATAATAGTGAAATAGAAAAATATTATGTTTTCTTTACCTCTGGGAACCCAAAGACAAATCCAACATAACAAGGCTTAATAACTCTTGTATGAGCCCTAATCTGTTTCACGAGTTCAAAATTCTTTTGCATATGCTGTGAAAGTATTTGATGATAACTTTTACACTCTATTAGTACACCATTTTCTTCATAAAATAACCGTTACTACACAATTGAAATTTCTGATTTTGGCTACTCAAATTGAAGCTTCATCCTCTCTACTAACCAATTATAAACATGGATAATTTGGCAACTCAAATTGAAGGTTCATCAAATCCAATACTTCATTGGTAAAGGACACAATATTCCTTGTTTCAATTCTCATTTTCTTTGCTCAACAATAGCAAGAAATTGTATCCTTTACAAACAGTATTTGAAATCAATGCAAAAGCTTAACTATATAAAAGCATATGAACAAGAACACATTACACATTCCATTCCAAACACACCTATTGAATTTCCTAATTACTCAAACTACCTAAGAAAGATGCCAAAAGAAACTGAAAGAAGAGCACTTGAGACAGCCCAGTTGGAGAAATTGCAATATGGTAGCTAGAAGACTTGGCATGTTGAGGAAGAGACTCATCCACCATGACCCTCACAATCATCTTCTGTCCCACCTCACAGTGCCCTGAAGCACCGCTCATGAAGTAGAAGGTCCCTGGGTGGCCAAGCTTCAACTTGGTGTTGCCACTGTTGGAGAAGAGTTTGGGGTGTGTGGCATTGCAGTGTGTGTAATCCCCCTCATCCACCTCCATCACTGAATCCTTCTTGTACTTAAACCCTGCGATTAAAATAGAAAACTACTATAAAAAAAAACACCTGGACCAATTACCTCTTCAAGAGTTTCTTAAACATTCTGGTTTCCATAATATTAAAGGTAGCTATCAAAACTGTAACACATTTTAGCATGACTTTCTATTTCTACAACTTTCTGCAGTACCAAGGTTCTTAAAATTTGTGTCATGCAGATTTTGAAAACTGGTTCATGATGACGATTGTAGCCACAACATTAAGGATTTTGTAGCGTGTGACAACGTTTCACAATGTGGTGGACATAGTTGTTTGTACTTTTCTACAATATTAAAGATCACAATGAGACTGGAAGTTAAAATCTTTTGTACTAATTATGAGTGGGGATTTAAAGAGAGATGCAGTGCTTACAGAGGGTGTCACCAGCGTGGAACCTGTTGTGGGAAGCCCATTCATTGTAGAAGTTGGTGTCATTTTGGGGAGGGACAGCCCACCCATTTGAGTCACCAACTTGGAATTCATTGGAAGCCACAGAGCAACATGTAAGAGTGGAAAAAATGGCAAAGAGAAACACTAATAGGGAAGTGGAACAAGAAGTAGCCATTGATAGTATGAGGCAATAGGAGAGTGAATGCAGAAGTTTGTGGTAGAAATAGCACACTTTGGTGTAGTAGGAAATGTGGAACAAAGGGTTTCTTATATATAGATGTAGATCGAGAGAGTGGCGAAGTTGGTTTTGAGTGAGTTGGACGAGAAATGGGAGTAGTGGGTGATTACAGTTATTTTCAATCATATCTTGGAGCCTTCGAATTTTGCAGATTAATTTGACTGTTAATTTGGGTTGAATTTTCAATTAAATTAACACGGTTGAAAGTTCAGATAGGAAATTTAGTGGGGGAAGCAGAAATACACACAAGAAGAAAAATGCTATAATCACGGATCATGGGTCATGGTAGTTTATTGGCATATTCAGCATTGTGTTAAGGTGCTACTTGTGTTGTTTTTCTATGTTCACTTCACGTATTACCTTTCTAAATAGACTAATTGATCTAATAGTGAAAAGGGAATTGCACTTTTCTTGAGTAATGCCATATACACACATATTGTTGCTACATTTTTCTGTCATATCTATGAATGAGCACGGGTATGAGGTGTAGAACAAACAAATGAACACAAAAGGGTCGACAACTATCACTGACACTAAAACAAAAGAAAAAAGTAATGATTTACATCTGCTTTGCAGGCTATAAAAGTATGTTACAATATAACACGATGTTGCTATAATGAAGTCTCCAAATCTCTTGTATGTTCAGACTCCTGTTCAGAATCATTTGATTTAGATGTTTGGCAATTGAAGGATCTCAAACTTATTATCCGAGGAAAAGCACTTTTTGATCTGATTATTTTGGAAGCACCATGCTTCTCAGCAAGCTCATCAGATAGTGTGTTTAAGATAACATCAAAACGCCTCTTGTAGGTAGGGAACCTTGTGATGAATTTAGTGATCCCTTGAAGTCTTTGCGAAAGATAAATGAAAAAAAAAATGAGGGGAGAAATCCTTAGTGGAAAATTAGTGCAATAGTTATAACAAAACAACCAAATTGATTTGGTTTGATATGTACCTTCTTGCCAATGCATGAAGTTCAGCACGTTTGCGATCAGATTCTGGGACTCTGCGGCCAATAAATGATTTTTCTACCCTGGTGGGATCACCATTGAAGAGGACTAATTTGCCAAAGTAGTCCTCTTCTAACACACTAAGATTTTCAGCTTTGATTTGTTCTTTAATGACCAAAAGGGGATTAAGGAACCATTCAAAAAACTGTTCCTTCGGTTTGTTTGATGTAGTTAGTTCAGTATCCTCACCTGCATGGAGAAAGTGTAAGCCTAATTATTTCTTGAAAATGCTTACTTTATACAAACAGTAGATGAAAATTAAACAAGCACGCACACAAATGATTACTAGTAGTGCAACAATGATCCCTTACTTATCAATATACCAGAGGAGTTCTCTTTTACAGAACGAAAAAGAGCTTGGAGAAGGCAATAAGCTGGCAAACCAATTCTAATGACTCTACCCCTTTTGCCAAACTTTGCTTCTTGTATGTCTTCATGTGTTATTAGCCCTTCAGAAATCAGTGATTCTCCAAGTTGATGGCATTCTTTGAACAAGCCATCCAACAGCTACACAACTCATGCAGAATGTTTATTTAGTACAGATGCATAACATGAATACAAAAGTTGATATTTGAGAACTCGGTAGCAAAGAATACCTCAAATGGTTTGAACTCGGGTATATTTTTCAGTGATATTGCACGAGAGAGTGTCTTTGTTAAGGAGTTTGTTTTTGTGAGGGAATTTGAATGGAGAAGTGTCCTTGATGATGGTTTCAATTCAGTCTTTTTTCGATATTGTGGCCTATCAAACAATCAACTGCATTAACTACAACTCACATCATCAACACGAAATAGAAAGCATAGCAGAAAGAGACCTTGGGAAGAAGGATCCATCTTTCATGTCAAGAATATCATTGCTGTATTCATCATAAAGGGACACAGCTGCAACAATGTACCTTAGGCCAAACAAAAAAGAAGACTCCTGCAAACATTAGAAAGAAACAAATACTTATTGGATTAATTTAACATAAGCTTTAATTAATACCATTTTAGACTATAGACTTAAATCTAACTCTGTTACAAAATTAACTCTACTGGGTGTGGATTATTTCAAGTTTAGTTAGTGATCTCGAGTTGAAATTTTAATATATGCAGCTTGATTAAGGCTAAGATAAGCATAACATATCATGCTTAAAACTTGTAATCTCAATAGATATACTTAAAACTTGTATGAAGATTGACCTGATAAGTGATAAGACCTGCATAGGCACCCAGAAAGAAACTAGCTAACACAGATGCCAGAACCGCCCCAGCAACAGCCAGTGGCCACAAAATAATGGCAAGGCCTGCAAAAGGCACACATATTGTCTCCAAGAAAGGGCCTTCACGACCTATAAGATCATGTAAAAGACGGTTCCACCCTTTAAAAAGCATGTAAGGGCCTTTACATACAGAAATTGTAGATATAACTGGTGTGTCAACTATGACCCCAAGAACCATAGCCACAATAGCTCCAGGAAGATATTGCAGCCTGCATCAAAACATTTTTTGTCAATCTAGAAGACCTTTGCATCATTTACAACATACTATAGGTATGCACAGTATAATAAAAACCCCTGTTACCTAAAACCAAAGATTTGGATGCATTTACAACAAATTCCAAGGTATGTTTCATTAGAGACATAATGGTACAACAAAAACCAAACTCAGAATGTAATGACAAAACCTGATGTCATAATAGTTTCCATCTGGATCCTTTGGTTGCAAGAGGTCATCCATAACAGATAAATAAGTATCATAGCATTCATTTTTCACATCTTTGACAATATCAAAGGTCTTTGTTATAGTGGTCCATGTTCCATCCTGAAGATGCAATATGAAATTCTGTATTGAGTGACAACAGAAGGACAAAATTAACGAGGATTTTAATAACCTAAAAAATGAAACATACAATGAAACAATGGAAAAGTTTGTACTCTTTTCCTCCCTCTACAGCTTCAAAAGTAGCAAATATTGGTGCAAAGAATCCATAGGCTGCTCCACCTATAACACTTCCAACAATGCCAACCAATGGCCATAAAATCAACACCATGGGTAGTAGACATGTGCATGCAACAAACTTCAGTGCAGGTCCTAATTTTTCTGATCTGTGAGTTAAGGAAATCAATACAAGAAACAATAAGAAATCTAAAACAATGAGAAAATCAAATTTGAGAGACTGGAGCCAGGGTAAGCACCTAACTACACAGTAATATGTCCAAATACAATGTATCGGCCAAAGACCACATATGATAGTTGAGTTGCCAATTGTCATTATTAAGCATATCAGTGGGCACAAAATGACACCTGAAATCATAGTACAGATTGAAAAATGAGTGAGCTTGATAAATCATAATCCTGAAGCGGAAACTTAGAACAACAGATAGATTGTGTAAGAAAAGGGAGGGAGAGAACAAAACAACTATTGTATATATTCTTTAGAGGGAAAAATAAACTGCTAAATTCTTTGTCATGGTTGAAACTTTGGAATACCACATACTTATTTGTCATGTAGTTTAAATAGTTTACTTTTATTTTTTTCTTTAATTTCCAGTAACATAAAATTTGTTGTGCTTAATGAACAAAACTAAAAGATTGATCATCAACATGGAATTTAATTGTTTTCTCTTGTTAATATCACACAATCATGGAAACATCATTCAATCTGTATTTGTCGCCAGCTAAATAAAATGAGTAAATCTCCTACAAATATGTAATAAAATGGAACACATGCTATATTACGTACAAATCTTCAAATGTCCATTGTCAAAGGAAAAAACCATCACATTAAAATGAATAATTATCTAAAATAACTTGTAACAAAAGAAAGTTTGCATAGGCAGTTACCAAGAAATTCCATCTCTTTTAAGTTCAACTAGTATTTCTCAATCAAAGCATACATACATACATATATATATATATAAAACAGCTGAACGAACTCAGAAAAATGGAAAAATAATCATGGGCATTCCACCTTTGATGTTGCCAAGAAGCCAAAGACCGATGAAGAAAGGAAGAAAGCAAACCAAGTTCCATATTGAAGCCCAAAATCCTGTTGGAGGTTCCATTGCTCAGCCCCTCGAGTACAAAAAGATTCAAACTTTAACAACTTCAAAGATGATAATGATTGAAAACTACACACCCAGATCAAAAAAACCAGTTTTCTGTCATCACAACTGGCTATCTCAGCACCAAAACCCAAATCACTCTTCATTCTGCGAGTTGCCATAGCTGCAGAAACCAGCAGGTGGGTCAATCTTAAACCGCATTTTCTCCCCTATTTTAGAACTTTGAGCTGTAGCCTTAATATATATTTGAAAAGGGTACGGTGGGATTGTGCTCATATTTTATTTTGAGAATGGTGAGAATCATGAGAGTTATGCCTGAAATGAGAGGAAAAGTTATGAATATAGTTAGTTCTTTTTATGAACGAGCATCCATCACATGATGCTTTGCCAAATTCTCATTCATTTTATTTTTTTCTAATCAACACTCCTTTATTCTGAGCATCTCATATTCCTTTGTGCTCAACTTTGGCCTAAAGCAAAGCAAAGAGTGTGTGATTTGGTGACTTGTGGTGTGCGATTTGTTTTGATTTGCGAAAGGAAAAGTAAGAGACCACTTTGAATATG